ATGCAATAATCATAAAGGGAAGCTCACAAGTCTAGCTGTCCAAGGTCTAGACTAGTATTGTGAGTGAGGTCCCTGGAGTGATGAGGGAAGGACTTAGATACATTGTTTCACTTTGTGCCCCCCCCCCCCCGCACCTTTTACAGTATTGGTGCATAGTAAGCACTCAATACTTTTGGACTAGATGGGTGAAAGGGCCTGAGAAAGGTTCGGTGGAAGAATGAGGTGAAGCTGACTCTAACATGATGTGTGAGTTGGGTGAAGAAAGTCCGGGAGGGGACAGTGTGGCAACTTGAAGAGATGGTGTGCAGTGGGTACAGAGAGGAGCGAGAGCAGGGCAGAGGGTAGAGGAGCAGCGGGAGGCCTGTGCCAGCCCTTGAGTTCACAAATTCTCCCGGACCTGACCTTACTTCCTCAAGGGGGAAGCTGAGAACCATTCTAGTAGACTATAAAAAAGCAAAGCACAAGGTTCTGAGGCCAGTAAGGGGCACCAAAAAGGCACATGGTGGCACTATGAGACATGTGCCTTTAGGAGGTATTTGGTTGGGCTGGATCTTTCACAGAAGGAAGCCACCTGCTTCAACAGGGCAGGGAAGCCCCAGTGCCCGCCCTGCTACAATAAAGCCTGTTACAAAAAAGGCTGATGAGCTTTTGCAGCTTACAAAGCATCTCTTCAAACACTGGTTTCTTGAATGTCACAAGATCCCTGTAGGGTCCACACAGTCACTTTCCGTACAGATGCAGAAGTGGAGGCTCAGAGAGGTTAAATTACTTGACTGGCTCAAGGCCGGACTGGGCCCTGGTCTAACCCTGCTTATTGGACAGGCGGAATGAGGGTCAGTAAAGGATCTGACATACAAAAGCAAGGTCTCCCCCACTTTTTCAGAATGTTCTTACAGCCTCAAGAAGGTGAAGACACAGCCACTATACCATAAACAAAGACCTTTTTCTCGTATTATTCCTGACAGATATTTTTGCCATAGAATGGTAGGGGGTCTTATGTTTCCTCAAGAGTATAAGGATAAGATATTGATAAAATGTCATCAAGTCGAGGGAATAAAGTGGAAAGTGGCCCTAGGTTTCAGTCCAAACCAGGTTACTCTGCAGTTGGAGTCATCCTCATTTTGCCTTCTTTCTCTTTCTCTATGATCTTAGCAGTCCGGCGTGGGGAGGAGTTGTAAGGAGGAAGCACACACGTGTTCATGGCTGCAGATCTTGTCATGGCAGTTCTCTTACTTCTGCTGTCTCTGGGCTTTCTCTGAAGCTGAAGAAGGAGTGTCACATAGAAGAGGTGTCACGCTCCAATGCATCAGACATGACCTGAAAGCGCTAAAGGTGGCAGATTAAAATCTCCAAGGGCAGCCCTAACAATGGGGCCAGAACTCCCTGACCATATGCCCCAGCCTCTCCAGATGTTCCTCAAGGCTCCCAGTGAGCTTGCCGTGCAGCTGCTCAAGGTTTAATCAGCTTAGAGTGCATCCTTGCTTGGTTTTTCTTCCTTCCTTTACTTCTGATGTCTGGCATCATCTTCCAAGAAACCACCTCTCTTCAGGTCCGGGACTCAGGTTCTGTTAAAACATATCCACATTTGCTCACAGAAAAGCTGGCCGTTTGCATCAGTCCTCTCTCATCTTACAGGAGTGAGGTGTGCACAGATGTTCGGGTGGATGGAGTAGGCTTTGTGCAGAAGGACAGACTGATTCATCTGGTTACCAAGTGCGGATGCACTGACTGAAGAGGAGGAGCAGTGGGAAGACCAGGCTGGGAGAGATGGACCCTGTGAGGCTGAAAGGACGGGAAGGCTTCTAGGAAACCAGAGTAGGAGCCAGGAGATAGGGTTTGGGATTGGAGAGGTAGCTCAGGCCCAGCTGTGTGGGGCCCCGAATACCCAGGTTTCCCTTTCCTTGGGGTTTTGTGACGGGGGTGATGTTTCTTTTGAATCGTGCCATGGAGGGGATTCCTTTTTCATGCCAAACATTTTCCCAGTGAACTGCTAAGGCCAGATTGGTAGTTGAAGAATCCCCCTGCCACCCCTTCATCCTGAGTTGGGAGCCTCCTTTCCTCTCAGCCTTGGCTTCCTTCAGAGGTTTGCATTGTGTTGCAGCCCACCCTACCCTGACAGTCTCTTCACCTTGGCGTTTTGGAGCTTCAGGAAAAGGGTCTGGCAAAGTGCCTTCTCTATGGACAGACATCCGTGTCTGCACCTATCATGTTTTCCTAACATAAGAGCTGAAGGTGAGCGGGGGCTTGAGAGTGGGCGGTAGCTCTCAGCACATTACAGGAGTCTGGGGATCAGCTATTACCAGTTGGAGGTTGAGTTTCTGCCTATTTTCTGAGGGGGGAAGATCTGCCAACTCACAGACCTTGAACAATTTTTCCTTCTTCTCCAGAACCCTCACCTCTGATTTGCCACTACATCACAGCTGATCCCTTGGCTCATGCATCTGCTGTGTTCCTGGGAAGCCCAGTGGTCCCTGCTGCAGTCCATGAACTCTTTCAGTCTAGCAAAAGACCTCAACAGGGTATTCCTCCTGCCATTGTCACTTGGCAGCACTTTTGGTTAATACCCATGCATATTTGCATAGTATTTTCTAGATTACAAAGCATTTAAACATACATCAGCTTCCTTTATCATTTTCATAATAATCCCGTGAGGTGAGTAGGGTGACTATTGTTTCCCTGGTATAGATAAATAGAGACTGAGAAGTTGGGTGACTTGCCCAAGGACACACAGCTGGTTATCAGAGGGGCAGTTGAAAACTCTGGATTCATTTACTGCCAGAGCACACTGCCAGGGAGACAAGAAGAGCCAAAGGACCTAATCTTTGCCCGGAGAGTCCCAGAGTATAGTTGGAGGGAAATCAGATAAATAGGAACTACACGGTGGCATTGAGTTCCAAGTGTCAGTTGGCTTCTGTAGGTGTCCTATGATGTACACATACAGTGGAGAGATTCTTTGTGATGGAGAAGGCTAAGAGAGAGAATTTAAATGACAGGAATCTAACTCCTCAAAAACAAAGCAAAACAAACTACACTTATGTGTGGAGTATCTTTTATAGCTTGAACAAGGCCATTTTGCTCAAGAAGGTACACACACAGATCTAAATGGCACACAGATCTGTGAGCAACAGGGTGTTCATGGTTCATATTCGGACATCCTCCCAGATCTGCATGCACTCAGAAACTGGCCTTGTGGAGGTGACTGACTTTTGGAGGCATTGCTGTGAGGAGTTAGGGTCTGGTAGGAAGCTGGGTTACTTGGAACATGACCTGGAAGGGTGAATCCCCCACCCTGGCGCCTCCTTTTGCTCTCTACTTTCTGGACGCCATGATGCAAGCAGCTTTCCCTCTGGATGCCCCTCTTCCATGCTGTTTCCTGCCTTGGAGCCAGCCAAACATGGACTGAAACTTCTGAACCGTGAGCCAAAATAAACTCCTTCCTTTAAGTTGTGGGTGTTGAGCATTGTGTCCCAGTGATGAGGAAAGTGACTAAGACACAGAACATTTTGGCAGTCATTGAAATCAGTCAATATTTGTCTGATTTTAAGTATCAGGATGGACAGCCATGGCTTTCTGCTCTCCATTCAGGAGTCACAACGCAGTGAAAGACTGGATTTTGCAGCCTTTTAGGAAATCCGGGTTCAAAAGCCCTCTTTCTAGTGGTGAGCCTCACTAAGACATTTTGTGCTCTATTTTCCTTCTCTGCAATGTGAAGATAATTCCAAACTCAAAGGGTGTTGTGAAGATGGAGTGAATAATTTAAGTGAAACTAACTGACAGCAGGTGTTAGAACCCCGAATTCCTCTGCTGTTCAAGCATTCTGGGCCATTGTTGGTAAAAGTGTCAAATGTGCTCAAAGTGCCATGGATTTGGCCCATTCTCGTGCCCTTCTGTGCAGAGCTCTTGTTCCCATTGTGCCTCAGAGAAGCAGCACTGTGGGCATGCTTGAACATAAAAAAGAAATCCACTGCTTTCAAAATATGAAAAGAAAACCAGAAAAAAAGGACAAATCCGTGAACATGAGTTAAATGTTTGTGAACCATTTAATTAATTGGATGTAGTTGCTTATCAAAAGCAATGTGTTGCTTTCAATTCTCATGTAGCCATGTAGAAATTATATTTAATGTGTGATGTGAGTAAATCTGAGAATTTCAATTTGATGTGAGATGGGGACTCCATAAATAGGAGAACCTCCAGCCTAGGAAGTTCCTAAAGCAGCTCTGCTCCTATGGCCAGTGCACCACGTCATCCTATAGGAATGAGCCACGGCTTGGAGTGGCAGATGAGGCAAGGTCTGAGGGGTACATATTGGGTCCCCCTGACTTATTTATCTCCTTGAACCAATAGAAAATCAAGTAGCACAGTGTCTTGACCCATTCAGGCGCCCATCAAAATACCATAAACTGGATGTCTTATGAAGAAGAGAAAAAAAGCTTTTTTGTGCTATTCTGGAAGCTAGGACATCCCAGACCAAAGCTCTGCTCTGGCAGATTCAGTGTCTGATGAGAGTCCACATAACCTGTGCTTTCTCCATAAGCTCCCATAGTAGAAGGGGCAATAGGTCTTTCTGAGGCCTCTTTTATAAGGACATAATCTTATTCATGAGGCCTCCACCCCATGATCTAATCTACCTCCCAAGGCCTCCACCTTCTATTCCCATCATCTGATGGGTTTGTTATCAACATATGCGTTTTAGAGAGACACAGATATTCAAACAATAGGAGGGAGCCTGGCAGAGACTGAGGAACGAATTAGACCCAGAGGTCCTTGGGCTCTTTGTTGTTGGTGGATAGTCCTTGTCTTAACATTAAGAATTAACAATTCAAATTTCCCATTCCCCTCCCCTCTCTTCAACCCCTCTTTCTCTCCTTATTTACAAAACCTTTGTTTCCATTTTTTCTTTTTTTCTTATGGTACAAATTCCCTATGATGAAGGTGATCATCATGTATATCTAAAATGTGGCAATAAACTTAATTAATTAATAAAACAATTTAAATTTAAAATTTTAGTAGAATTCATTGACCGCTTCTGGTTGCAGCAAGAGCCTTAGAAAAAGAAAATAAACTGTAGCAGTATCCTGGCAATATGATAGGACATTGCTGTATGACCAAACAATCTTATAAAGTGCTTGCTTTAAGTCTCCGTTGTGGAGTTATGGCCCCATGCTCCTTCCGGGAAAGGTGCATCCCACTGGAGGGGAGGATAGGATGGAGCTGTGGCAGGTAATGGGTGGGAGAGAGGACAGCAGAATCAGCCTGTTGTATAGAAAGAAGAGAAATACACCCGTCAGGAGGTTGGGGTCCTCAGAAGTGGCTCTGACAGCCAGCGATAAAATCATAGGTCATTTTAAGGAACTCAGAGTGACCAGAAAGAATACTTACCATGTGCCAACAGGATTTAGTAACTAGGGAAATTGGCAAGTGTGTGCGTGTCTTGGTGCATGTGGCTAAGGAGGGGGATGAATTTGCTCTTTTGACGACTTCAATTTGTACAAGGAACTACGCAGGGCTTATTCTATAAGGAACTCCCTCGGGCATTTATTATGCTCAGTTATTGGTAACAATGAGATTTGCATCCATTGTTTTTTCAGGAAGTTACTGAGCAAAGTGAGGAACACCCTTCTAGGAGGGGCCAAGGCAGACACCTCTGTGAGCTTCTGAAAGACTCCTGAACCTGAAACACAGCCTGGGAAAGTGAGGCCTGAGGAAATGTGAGCAGGATGTACAAACCGGTGGAAGGGAGCACCTGAGCTAACTGCCGGGCTAGAGAGAAGCCAAGAACAAGGAGCGGAAAGTTTACCTGGTGTATTGAACACGTGTCATCTCTGACATACATCACTGCACTGATGCTGCCGAGACAAAAGCGAGTTCCTCCTTCTCATGGTGATGCTGTTTGCACTTGACATCAGGGTGTTCTGAGGCTGCCAGGGTGAGAAGAGGATGTGGTCATGATCTGGAACACGGTGGCTCAGGCCCCGGTGACCTTCACTGTGAGTACAGTCTGACAAAGAGCAAGTCTGTGCCCACTTGGGCTCCCAAGACCCATCTCTCAGTATCCTTCTCACAGAGGCAGAACATGCTGGGTTCCTCCAGGGGAAGGTGCTGGAGACCAGGACTGCCAAACAGTTCTCCAATTCTTTTTTTTCTAGTTGCATGCCATTTTAAACACATGATGAAAACCCAGATTCCTGTTTCCATAGGCAATAGAAGTATCAGATGCTAACCAAGCTTACTTTGCAAAAGAGTTCACACTCAGATTGTTTTAAAAATCAAGTTCCCTCCATGAATTTTTCAGTATTTAAATTTATTAGGTACTGTGTATATTGATTGAAGAGAGGGATATATGAAATTGAAACTTTAATAGACTGCTGACATTTTAAAATGTATGTTTACAACATCATGACAAGGATGAGTCAATATCTATCAATTATAACCATCAATGTTAATGGCCTCAATTCACCAATCAAAAGAAATAGACTGGCAGAATG